TTTTGTTTAGTCAGTGCTTCTACTTGCAAAGATAAATTTCCCTAATATTGCCTCAAATTTCAATTTTCCACAAACTTTTTCCTCTAAGTGGAAACACTTACAAGCATGATCCAATAAAAAAGTTTAGGGTCGGGATTTCGACGTCCAAAAGCTAGGTAGGGTCGGAAACTGGAAACCCACATATTTTTTTTTGCCTTATAAAGGGACAGTAAGCAATTACGATGGACGTTATTTTCATTCCTGAAATCGACCTTTGAATCCTCGGCTTACTGCGTGGACATCACACTTGTAAAATATTTCATATTTTCAGATTTGCCTCGCGTGGAAAGAAGGCACGCGGGGAGAGACACATCTTCTCAAAACGTGATTCTTAGCAGTCAAACAAACATGCGTAAAACTGCCCTCAAAACTGAAGAGCAACAGCCTAGTGGACGACTTGCGCTTTAGAAAAATTTTTAATCTGGGAATAACAAAAGATATTTTCGGAAAGAAGTTATCAAAATTAGAAAAACTGCAAAGTTTGGTTGCGTAGTGTTGTAAAATATGGAAAATATAGCCCTGCGAAGTTGGCAAATTTGTATACATTTCTATTACGTGTGGAAATTGGTAACTAATTTAGTTACCAATTCACGCACGTAATACAAAAGTATACAAATTTGCCAACTTTGAAGGGCTATATTTTCCGTATTTTACAACATTTCGCAACCAAACTTTGTAGTTTTTCTAATTCCAAGACGCTCTTTCTAGCTGTGGTATAATAGATTTCATTGTCCTTACTTAGATTAAAATTTAGTCTAAAGCGCAAGTCGTCCGTTGACCTCCCTGACATATTAATTGTTATTAAATTAAATACATATAGGGATTTTTAACTTGTTTGCTTGTGCATCAATCGGCGTGTGCAGGGATGTGCAGTGACTGTTGAATGTGATGTTATAGCAAAATTTAAGCTTGTACGCGGTTGTAAAGACAAAATACTGGAGTGCTAACATTTTTTGCCCATCCACATTAAAAAATACACATCTGAATGACGGGCGATGACGGGCCTCTGGCTAAGCACATGCCATTGAGTTGCATTGATAGGGATACAACTACGGTACGTGAAAAATACATTAGGAGAACTTTGACGTTTCAAGCGAGGCCCTTCATTGGGTAGTTATAGACATATATCTGGCATAATATAAAAAATGCGTCATTTCGTAAATAGAAATGGAATTAAGCTGATATACTATGCGTTGGTCTATCCATACCTTATTTACGGAAATTCAAAAAAAAATTGTACGGTTGATGACGTTTAAGGTGGCTCCCTACAGTTTTCTAAAATTTTAAGTATTTTAGGTAACCTTCGTTTTCAACCAAATTTATATTGAACACACTTAAGACAGGGCAATATAATCATTTCCAAGAAAGTTCAGAAGTCTTCTGCTGTCGATATATGAACAAATAGGAACTGTGTTAGTGTTGCCATGGCAACCATGACGTTTCATCTTTTGCACTTTTATTGTCTAATACGGCAATCAAACGGCAATATCTTTTTTTTCCTTCGGTCAATTTTTCTGAATTTTTTTTTAAGATTTATGGTTGAAAGAGGAATGACATATTAAAATTTGAAGGGATGTTTATAAGGCAGGTTTTGCGATATTCATGAATAACGACTACAAAAAATCTGCCTTATAGAATTTCTTGAAATTTTGATATGTTTGGCGAATCGTCATGCTTAGCAAACGTACAAAGTTTAAAAAATTTTCACCGAAGGAAACGCGAGAAAAATAGTCCTAAATCCAGTTGAAGCTGTTGACGTGACAAAATATCGATTCGACATGATCACTATTTGCGCATGCGTGTAAATTATAATGCGTGAGGAACACGAAACGTGTATGGTTTTATATAGTTGGCTTTTTTAGCAATTTTCACTTTGATTTTTTTGCTTATATGTATCACACAGATATTTTTTACTGATTTGAAATGCAAATAAAATATATATAGGTCTATATATGTTCAAAATACGAAAAATAATAATGCACTGACTTAATCCAACGTTTCTTAAATTTAGTTTTGTTGTGAAAATCGGTGTGAAAACTTTTCAAAACATTCAAGTAGAGTTTGACTTTTCGTATAAAACAACTCGTAACTGTCTGCATTATAGTTTTATTTGATTCAGCAGATAAAAAAACTACATGAGAACTGAGTTGAATGACAGGGTCATTTACGTAAGTTTCAGTGACAGTTCAGGAGTGCCTTGAAGACAGTATAAGATATAATTTCAGTCCGTGACACTGTTGTTGAACATTGTGAGCATTATGAAATACAGTCCTGAACGTATTAAATATATAAAAAAACACACAGAAGGTAGGTAAAAAACTAGCTAACAACATACGTACTGTTCGAATGTTGAAAAGTTTAGGATTATAATAAAAAACTGGCGTTTTCTTTGTAGATAAAAATACAAAAACAACTTCCCGCGGCTTGTTTCAAGATTTTTACTGGACCACGAAGATTCCACGCGCGAGTCGCGAGGATTACGTCTGAGCTATATAAATGTTTTAAACTGGACTATAACTGTTGCCAGAGATTTGCCAGACGGAAAACGAATTCGTATAATAAATATTAGAGCCCAACATATAACTTTTAACAAAGCCATTAAAACAGTTTTAAAAGATTGTAAAGAATTTTAATTGTAACGTTTCGTCTTTAACTTAAGACATCTTCAGACTAGAGAAAAGGAAATCCTATCCAAAGGACTTAACTTTGCCATCCCACCAACCAAACTGAATTCCTGTAGTTTCCTCACACCGTTTGAAAAGTTTTACAATCAACTTAAACGAGAACCCATCAACTTTAATTCTGGCTTCTTCCCGGTTTCGATTAAAGCCAAGTTGAAAGATATCGCATACTCCGGTTTCCGAAGCTACAATCGACCTAACGCTTTATATACGCAGGAAGAACTGAAAATTCTCAAAGACCTTGGGAACGACAGCAGCATTGTAATTATGAAACCTGACAAGGGAAATGGCGTAGTAATTCTTAATAAGGATGACTACAATAAAAAGATGGATCAAATACTGTCGGATACCTCAAAATTTGTGCCAGGAAAATCGTGCGTAACGCAACTTATTGAAGTATTTGAACAGATAGGGCGCAAATTGGACAATGGTGAACAAATAGACGTGATTTATTTAGATATGTCGAAGGCATTCGACAAAGTAAGTCATACTAAGCTTCTTCATCGACTACGCGAATTTGGGTTTCGAGGAAACATCCTGAACTGGTTCTCATCGTATCTCAGTAATCGTCGTCAGCAAACAACGGTTCATGGAGCAACATCAAGACCTTTAGCCGTAACATCCGGAGTGCCGCAAGGTTCGATACTTGGCCCATTGTTGTTCCTATTGTACGAAAACCACCTCCCCAACACCGTGAACAATTCAACTATCGCCACCTTTGCGGATGATACGAAGATCTTCAGAACCATAAGCTCCACATCCGATGCATCCTCGCTACAGGAAGACCTTACGAACTTTGAAGTGTGCTCCAGCAATGTCAACCTGGAACTTAACGCTGAAAAGTGCAAAATTCTAAGAATTACCCGAAAGCAGAAGAAGATAGAATACCCTTACAAGCTTCATAACAATGTCTTAGAAAGCACCGAGTTTGAACGCGATTTGGGAGTGTGGACTACATCTAACCTTACCTGGTCAAAACATGTTGAATGTCAATGCACACAAGCAAGTAAGATGTTAGGATATATAAGAAGATCAACACTTGACATAAAAACTATCTCCGTTCGTCGCACCCTATATTTGTCCCTTGTCCGTTCCCAACTATGCTATGGCTCTCAAGTCTGGGCTCCCCAATCAGTCAACTTGATCAAGCGCACGGAAAGAGTACAAAGACGAGCAACCAAGTACATTCTGGATCTTCCTTTCTTCTGTGAGGTCAGTTACAACCAGAGACTTGATATGCTAGATATGATTCCTGTATGTTACTGGCACGAATTTCTTGATATGATTTTCTTCTTCAAATGCACTCATGAGATGATAGTCATTAACAACGACCTACTACCAACAATCCAGAATAGAGAAAGAGCTACAAGATCTGCTGATCCGAACTGTTTGATGTTTACAACAAAAAAATGCAAGACCACAACATACCAGAAGTCATTCCTGACGAGATCAACGAGAGTGTGGAACATTTTACCAAAAGACTTGACAGATAAAAACACTACATTTAACGGATTTAA